TTGCAAGGTTGCATCCTTACAACCAAGACACTACATATTGCAAGGTTGTATCCTTACAATCATAATTCATATTGCAAGTTTGTCTTTTTACAACCAGTATATGACACATTGCAAGGTTGTATCGTTACAACCAAGACATTACGTATTGCAAGGTTGTATCCTTACAACCAGGACATTACATGTTGCAAGGTTATATCCTTACAACCTAGAAATTACATAATGCAACATGGTATCGTTACAACCAAGACATTACGTATGGCAAGGTTGTATCCTTACAAGGGTAAGACGACCAAGATGACGACCCTAGGTCTGGACGTACCTCAACTTCAATTAATGAAGATTTAATCAAGGAGAAAGCGAAAGTTTTACTGTCAGATATACGTATTGCCATTGCTGAACTTGATGAAGACACAGGTGTAAGCCATGAATCCATTGAAACTACTATTCATGAACATTTTCAGATGTATAAGATATCTGCTTGTTGGGTGCCAAAGTTTCTAAATTTTGATCTTAAGGAAAAGAGAACTGACATTGCCTGAGAAAATTTAAAGCTTACTGAGGAGGCCTTCGTCAAATTCAAAAAGAGATTAGTAACGGGTGATGAAACATGGGCCCACCACTATGATTCCGAGTCAAGACGTCAATCCATTGAATGGCTTCATTCCACTTCTCCGGCACCAAAGAATTTCAAGTCTTCAACATCAGTGAAGACAGTTATGGCCACTGTATTCTGGGATGTAAATGGTGTGATCCTTGTTGATTACTTCATCGCCTAAAAGATTCTATCAACATAAAAGGCGAGGAATGCTGACTGCTGGAGTTCTACTACTTCACGACAATGCCTCTTCTCACACCTGGCACCAAGTGATTTCTACCTGTATCCTAAACTGAAGGATCCAAGAAAAAACTTCGTGGAAAGCGCTGTGACGACAACGATGACCTCAAAGCTGCCGTGAATGGGTTTTTCAGGGTGGCTTCAGAAAACTTCTTCCTGACTGGAATTGAAAAGCTTCACTATCGATATGAGAAGTGTATTAAAAAGCAGGGAGATTATGGCAAAAAATAAATTTAAAAACATTTTCACAGTTGTTGGTTTTGTTTGTTAGGCTTAGAACTTTTCGACCACCCCTCGTACATTACACATCGCAAGGTGGCATCGTTACAACAAGTGCATTACACATTGGAAGGTTGTATCGTTACAACTAGAATATTAGATATTGCAAGGTCATACCGCTACACATTACACATTATTATAGGACATTACATGGATGAAAGGGTCAGTGATTGGGGATTGTACTTAATGATTATATAATAATCATTTTGAGCTGAAACATAACACAATTTATGAACCCTCAATCTGCATCCATTCCCGAATTTGCATATATAATATTGTACATCGAATTCTAAAATTATTGTCACGTTTCCGATTTGAATTCCGTAGTTTGAAATCACCTATTAAATTGACACTTGTTATCATTTTTCATATATTTTTACTTTTTTTATCTATAGATTATGCATTTATTATGCATTTACTTACTCGAGCGCAATCAATGAAACTAGAAGCACCATGCGGAACTGGTACATATACATTGTTTTGTGTAATTGAATAAGACATGCAGTCATAAATTATTGATGAGTGTGGGTCATTTAGCTGTCCGGGAATGCAATTCTGCCACATCAAACTCTTTCGTCTGGAACACAATCGTTTAAAATAATAAATTATTCCTTCGAATAAGCACTAAGTGAATGTAAAATGGGATGGTAAAAGAAAAACTTCAGATTCAATTAACGGGAACTGTACATTTCATGAGAATCAAGAATATTGTGTCACAGGGGGCGTTTAGTAACTTGTAAAAGTATGAGATGTAAGATTTTTTCTTCAATGGGAAATCAATGATTCCGGTTAGATATGTTTTACTGTAAACCCGTGAAGTTCCGAGTCAGAATTGAGCGTCAGTAACCCATGCTTGTCGTGAGAGGCGACTGACGGGATCGGGTGATCAGGCTCGCTGACTCGGTTGATATATATCATCGTATCCCATTTGCGTAGATCGATGTGCATGATGTTAGTCACTGGATTGTTTGGTCCAGACTTCATTATGTACATACCGCCGTCATTTTGATGATTGCGGTGTTAAACAACAAAGAAACAAACCAATGTCAAACTATGATATTGTTGAAAGTGTAAATAAAAACTTCAAAACACTTTCCGTAATCACACAAAAGTCCATTACACGATTCTTGCTGTATCGTAGCATGTGCTATATAGGTTTGTTCATATTCAAATTTCATTGAGAGGCACATTTTACTTACAGCTACAGGTTTGTGTGATTTGTGTGTGTGTGTGTGCGTGCGTGCGTGCGTGCGTGCGTGAGTGTGTGTGTGTGTGTGTGTGTGTGTGTGTGTGTGTGTGCGTGTGCGTGTGTGTGCGTGTTTGTGCGTGTGTGTGTGTTTGGTGTGTGTTTTTGTGTTTGGGGGGGTGTTTTGTTTTTGATTTTCCTGTTTTTTTGTTGTTGTTTAGGTTTTGGTTTTGTTTTGTTTGTTGTTGTTTTTTGTTTTGTTTGTTTGTTTATTTGTTGTTTTGTTTGTTTGTTTGTTTTTGGGGGGGGTGGTATTATGGATCTTCACTTTTGAAATGGTAACGGATACCCTGAGACTGCAGGGTTAACAAATGAGAGAGAAACGACAAAGAGATTAACCTAAGAGTTCATAACTACGTTGATTCAATGTGAAAAAAAGGGTTCATAACTACACACATTTAAAAGGGTATGTATAAATGTTAGATTATTAATACGTGTAAATGTAATCTGTAAAGTTAGAAAACTTACAATATTTGCTTTGAAGTTGGTTCGTAAAAACATATGAGGGTTTGAACATTACAACGTTTTAATGATCTTTATGAAAGGCGTATTACATCGACCTGCTCTCTGACTAATTAATGTGTCCGTCATATAGCCCCAGCTGTTTAGTAATGCACGCCAAAGTTATCGTATTATAGATTGTTCACACAGCACATATTCATTCTGAGGTCGGAATCCTACAATGGTCGTATGATGATGGAAATGTTTTTTGTCGCTTTAATTATCAGCTACCAGGTTATATTTATGTTCTAACGTGTTAATGATCTTTATGAAAGGCGTATTGCTGCGACCTGCTCTCTTAATAACTAATATGTCCGTCATATAGCCCCAGTTGTTCAGTAATGCACGCCAAAGTTATCGTATTATGGATTACTTCACAAAGCTCGGAACGTTTTAGTTTCATAATTATATTGCTGAAAAAATCTTGGACAGAAATGTCCCATTACATTATTTTTCTTTTACACGTCATTAATTTGTTAATCTAGACGATTTTAATGGTTAGCTTACCGTCCTATTTAACGAGGCTTCACTATATCTACGACATAAGTCATAATTATCATTATATATAGGAATCTTGATGCCTATTACTTTTGGTCAATGACGACGTGATGCTGGTCTATCGGCAGCTCCAAAGCATCTCTGTTATTGATTGTGTCCCAACGTTTAATTCAAGGACCCTTGCATCCTTTTAGATGTATTTTTTAACGCAGATGAAGATGGAGACATTGCTCTAGAGGTACTTGAAACGAATGGTTTCTTCATGTTCAAGGAATATCGTGACAGCCTTTTCTGTCACGTAAATTGAACATGTTCGAGTAGCCTTTTAAAAGTAATAAAATAAAAACATTGGAGCTTAAGCGAAATCCATATTTTCAGTGAAAAACAACAGACTCGGGGATGTTTTGTCCCCATTGAATTCAATCATGCCGTTTCCTTTTCCTCAGCGTGCGTGTGTCGAGAGTTAAAAGCATGAAAATACACTTCACACATACATGTTGAGAGTTAACTTGCCGGTTGAGCTGAAGCAGCTGATTCTACTCGAGCTGTGCAGTGTGGTAGCCATTTTCGCCTCGAACATTTATGAATTCCGTTGTTTTATTGATGTATCTTTTTAATGAATGACTAGGTTCCACGGTTGGCTGCCTATTTCCCAGAGAACAAGTCTTTCTAACACATGTTTTGAGACAGTAATGCTAAATTAGTTGCAATTGTACAAATGACTGCTTTTTAGAATACCAGAATTATCATTTTCCAAGACGCCCATGGACCTTTGAGTCAAAACCACAAGCATTGCGAAGATTATTATTATTATATAGAGATTAAAATTTATAATGCAGCAAAGAGGGTTTAGGTGATGCTGATATTGTCAGGCTGGTTAGGCTCATTATCAGCTCAGGACCATAGCCCCCTTTACACGCAGCCCAGACAGCGAATGGGACTTCTCCCAGGAAGCGCTGCGAAGGCGAACCCACCCAGAATTTTTTCGGAGAACATGAAGACTCCCCAACACTGCAGCCGTCTGCATCCCCCAGATTGTCAGAAGGGCTGTATTCCTGACAGCAATCCCGGGTACTCTCCCAGTCCACAGATTATATTTTGGAGGTACCAAACCTGAGTCAATGGGGAGTCGGACAACTTGGTATTTGGGATGCAAGCGTGACATTTCGGAAGCGATGTTCTCATATTGGCCATGTTTTCACTGAATCTTGTCAGTCAAATTTGAGTCAAAGGGGACGGAGAATTCAATGTTAAAAATGATTTCCTAACATTTACCAAAAGGACAAGATCAGGGTTGTTGGCCTGGATAGATCTGAGGCCGTATACGGGCCTATTCCAAAGACTTTTGTATTTATGATTTTCCATGAAGCCCGAATTTGTGATGTCTGCTTCGTAAAACCCACAAAAAGAACATTGTTCAGCTTTACAATTAGGTGAGATTCAATCTTCCCGGATTCTCATTATTACTGACTTTGTTGTTCCCGTGTTTTCTTCAGGCGAACAATTGACTTGCCTTTGCATGTGTTCGAGCTGGTGTCGCTTTTATTGTTAAAGCTAAATGACGTATTGTAGTAATGTTTGTGTGTTTGTTGTTTAACGCCAGCAATATTGGTCATATCTGATCATGTATATCTATTTCAGGTATGCAAGGACGATGATTTGACGGCTTAGCAGTACCGAACTCAGGTGAGCTTCATCAGTCAGAAAATATTCATTAAAATCTGCGAGGGCTGGATTTGTGGGAGTAATCATAGATAGCTCTCAGTTTTTATGGTTGCTCGTCGACGCGACTGACAAGATCACATATTTCATTTGTTGGTTATGAGATCAACGGACCAAAAAACTTAAATTGGAACGAAAGGAAACTCAAAGGGTCTGTATCACCGCTATATGACCGCACGAAATAGTGAATAACACGTATAACAGTCTGTGTTCTTACAAAATATTCCTCTCGGCATCTTTCCACTTGAACACTTGTTTGTTTTTCATTCAGTAGCAGCACTAATCTGGAAGTTAAAAATGAAATTTAAATATTTCGATCACCATCATTGAATCTTAGACCTTATATTGTGTCCTGTTTTCTGACCCCATCCAATAGCTTTACCAACTCAGACTAAATACAGAAAAAGATGTCTCCAAAACCAAACTCCAAGTGAATAGCTCTGATTAATAACTTTCTGTATTAACCAATGGGTGCGGAGTGGTGTGCCTAGTGTAGTGTGTATTTAGAGTCGACAAATTTATGGGAGATGGAGAGAGTGAATGAGTGAGTCATGTTTGACGCAAGAAATGGGATTCACACATTGTACCCGTGTTGGGAATCGAACCCGGGTCTTCAGCGTGACGAGCGAACGCTTTAACCACTAGGCTACACCACCGCTCCTGAAATCACTGCAATATTAATGAGTGCGGCGTTAAACAACATTGATCCATTCACTCAATGACTGCCACAGTAATCGACCAATGTTCCACCAAAGCTGGTTCTGTAGTCCTTTTGGGAAGGAAACGGACAACATTATTCGATAACATCACGCTACATTGTATAAATTACACGCATGTACATACGATCATATCATTAGCGCGATTTCAATATGTCATGTTGGGTATCAATGTACTCCCTTTGGAGATAAGAATATAATCTGAAAGCCCACGGATCCATTGGTAGGGGTATACTGGCATGCGAATGTTCCCAGTGGTGTGATGTGTTGACGTTATGTGTGGCCTATAACCTGAATAGTACAATATAATCCAAAGTGAAAATCATTAAAAAGATAGTTATTATAAGGTTATTATACTGCATTACCACTGGTAATCATAGTGTTATGGACCCGTGGGAATTCCGGGTGAGAATATAAGCCCACAGCAACCCATGCTTGTCGGTGGAGGTTACATGAAGTAACTGTGATCATGTACATTTATTGATAACTGAAATCTGATGATAAATCACGATGGTATGACCTATGTTGCTTTTAAGATCATTTTTCCAAGTGTATGCCGCGGCTTATTGGGGTAACGAGAAATCAAGTTCTCTATGACTCCCACGGAGAGTAGAGCATAGCAAAAGGTTCGTCCTTTGGTTCACGTGCGGTGTAATTATGAACTGATAATGTACTCCAACCAGTACACTTTAAACAGCAGTGCCGTTCGAGATTTACATAGACATCTAGGCTGTGAGTTTGAATGGAAGATAATAAGTGCTACTTACACGAACTGGTCACTATATACACAGATGTGCTTTTCGTGTAACTCGAGTATATGGCTGTGCTCTAAGAGTGAGCTGGGTGTAACGCCGCTTTTAACAGTATTCCAGTTATGTCGCGGCATGACAGTTAATGTGGGAGGAAAGCCCCAAGTGATGCAGGTCTCAGACGTTTACCACTTCGGTGAAACCCACGAGCACGGGTATGGTGCTGACAAATCTATAAACATAATTAGGGCGAACCGAGATTCGAACCCACAATCATAGGTTTCTGGCGTGCCCAAGGGACGCAACTCTGCACAGCGAATCGCGGCGCCTTGGACGACTGGGCCACCCGTGCCCCCGCTCTAAGACAGATAGAGGACTAGTGATATTACTTCATAGGGACGAGAGGGGGCAGTTGCGAGAACAATTGGACTTGAATGCGCTCGACTGTTCTCGAAACTGTATCTTCATATCCCATTTCGCACTCAGTATATCACGTGAAAATAACTAGATATTTCACTCTAACAAGGACACAATAATTTCTAAGAAACCTTGAAATTTCATAATTTTCAAATTTCAATTTGAAAATTCCACAAGCTTTGAAAGCCTGTGTTGGCCGTCTTCACATGTGATCCTTTAAAAAAGAATGGTTGTTTTGAGTTTTATAGATATTATCAAATTGTGCAATGTGATAGATTGGAACATTGCAAAATGTGTGACTACTCTCTGATAAAGTGACTATGATTGCTACATATCTGACATATCATGTTGCTAACCATCCATTATCCACAATCATCCCCATTAGCGAAAATGAATACATTCATATGACAACCCGTTTGGACAACGTGCGTGCCTAAAAGAATTTAATTTACTTTCTTCCTCACGAGTGATGCACTCGAGTTACTAGCATGGCATGAAACTGATTCAGAAACATAGATAAACTTAGGACACATATTATAGTGCCCTGTTTGGCACAATAACAGAACAGGGCTTCACAAGAAACTATGGAAAGTTGTTTGCAAACCTTTTATATTTCTCTCGCGTGACCCACGTGTTAAGTCATTGGTTTTCGAGTACAAGTCCATTGTATGATCCCAGACAAGGTATGGGCTTAGTCGTACAGTAGACATAGTCGCATAGTCGTCTTTTAGGGCTAGCCTGGGTTGCTGAGGGGGCACGGGTGACCCAGTCGTCTAAGGCGCCGCGATTCGCTGTGCAGAGTTGCGTCCCTTGGGCACGCCAGAAACCTATGATTGTGGGTTCGAATCCCGGTTCGCCCCAATTATGTTTCTAGGTTTGTCAGCACCATACCCGTGCTCGTGGGTTTCACCGAAGTGGTAAACGTCTCAGACCTGCATCACTTCGGGCTTTCCTCCCACATTAAGCTGACACGCCGTGATATAACTGGAATACTGTTAAAAGCGGCGTTAAACAAAACTCACTCACTCACTCACTGGGTTGCTGAAGACCTCTTCTACCCTGGATCTGTATGGGCAATGGGTTATGGGGATGTCGGAACAAAAGACTGGGTTTGTATTGGTGGATTTACAACATCAACAAAATCCTATCGCTTTATTGATTTATGCTTGGTTTCTTGAACAATGACTGGCAGGTACAGGAACACCTAACCTATTATGTAAATTTGGATGATAAGCTCTGAGTACCATCACTCACGAAAGAAAAGCACAAGGTATCTCCGAAACAATTCTATCGGAAAACCCAGTTTGTAACATTACGTAACGCTTAATATTTCATGCTGTAATTAGGCATCGGAACCATACTTGCATCTTGGACTTCAGGATTATCCGTAAAGGAACCGAATGGCAGGTCTCCACTTTATAGCATTAAAACAGTAATCTTCAACCAAACAACTACCTTCTTTCATGGAATGATGCAACCTTACTCGCTGCACGCTACGAGGACGCAACAGGGTTGGTTTGCATAAGTAAATTAAACAGCTTGCAAGGGATTATTGTTTTGTCTCCCGTTCATCCCTTGAACCACCTTTTGCATGAAAGGTAACGGACTGAATTTGACATCAGACATTACGCTTGATTGATTGCATTTCAACACGAGAAAATCGATAACATTTCACAAAGATTACATTTTTTAAAGCACTTCTTTGCAGATTTTCTCAACATAACGTCATTCGCGAATGCATATGATGATTGATCGAAAATGTTTTATGGAATTTGCCAGCTATCAATTTTGACCTCCTTTATGATTTAATCTTCTTGTGATGCTGAATTTCGAACAAACGGACGTGAGGTATCAACATGTCGCGGCTTGTATTCCACGTTCAATATCAAATTGTCGCCTTGCTTAAGAGTGACTCGTTTGTGGCTTTGCGCAGAACATGACGATAAGTAACTTATTCATTTCTCCAATAAATTAAAGATACTGTGTAAATGTTATGCCCATGTTTGAGAACTCTGTGGAAATAAATGTGAAGTAATCTATTAGCATCTCAAGATTTTGCAAATAGAGCGAAACCCTGTCTATCCGGAACCCCTGTTTTTAACTGTTTATATACCTCCAAACATACAAAACGCCATTCCAAAGAAATTAATCTCAGGATTTATTTAACGATTTGAGTTGACAGTACCGTCCTGATTAATAGGGGTTCACTGTATGAAACAACTGATAATAGTGAAATACTTGATAAAAGTGCCAGTAACACAACGCATTCTTGATAACAGCTTCAGTGCCAGAAAACATTATCTGAAGACGACTTTATATCAACAAATAAACATTTCGTTGTTCCGGAAATTCTTAAATCCGTATATTCTCACTTAGTATGAATACAATTGAGTCAGTATTAACAAATTGTACTGGTCTTCTCGATGGTGCAAGCATCACTTTGTGAAAAATTGATATATCCTTATGGGCATCTTTTCATTATAAAGATCATGTATCTTTCACGAGAATTCCAAAACATCACTTTTGGCACTCAAGACTCAAATCAATCAGTACATGTGTGACGTGGATATACTGCGCTTCCTTTTTTTGTGATACGCCGGTTCCTTTCATGCCAATATTGAGTAGGTGGATAGGTAATGTGGTCGGCAGCTCGACACCTGAAAGCTTCCAGGGCTTCGGTGCTGCCCCACACTGAAACACATGTTACATGTGGTGTCTCCTAAGGAAAAACCTTGTTCCAAATATACCTCTGTTTACCCAGCAGAAGAGATGTGACTGAAGACATCCTGGTGGTTCGTACGGCAGCTGGGCGTGTAGTGAGTGAGTGAGTATGGTTTTACGCCGCTTTTAGCAATATTCCAGCAATATCACGGCGGGGTACACCAGAAATGGGCTTCACACATTGTACCCATGTCGGGAATCGAACCCAGGTCTTCGGCGTGACGAGTGAACGCTTTAACCACAAGGCTACCCAACCGCCCCTCTGGGCGTGTACACTCGACAGGGAACCTACAATGAAATTTGAGTGAATACTGGTCTAAAGATAGATGTAGTAATAGTATATATAGCTGCTATGAGCATC